ATTAACTCAGCAGCCCAGGCTTTTCTCACCGCTTCTCAGCCCAGTGAAACTACAGTTCTGCTGGGCTCTATTTCTGTATTTAATAGTAAAAAAGTACATCCAAGTCATGGAGAAAGTCATGGAGGTTACAGAGCTCATTTTGAGTTTTTTCTTTCTCTTAAGGATTACAATCCTGTGCTGTGTTTAGTTTAATGCCAGTAAAAATGTACTTTAGATAATGTATGCAATTTTACAGTTGCTTATTGTAAGGGAAGTACAGAGACTAGGCGTGGTGGCTCCTGCCTGTAATCCCAGTGCTTTGGGAGGCTGAGGCAGGTGGATCAAGAGATCAGGAGTTCGAGACCAACCTGACCAACATGGTGAAACCCTGTCTCTACTAAAAATACAAAAATTAGCCAGGCGTGGTGATGCATGCCTGTAATCCAGCTACTTGGGAGGCAGAGCCAGGATAATAGATTGAACCCAGGAGGTGGAGGTTGCGATAAGCCAAGATCACGCCACTGCACTCCACCCTGGGCAATTGAGGGAGACCCTGTCTCAAAAAAAAAAAAAAAATAGAGAAGTGGAGAAACTGATTACTCTGTCATAATTGGAAGCATAAACCCTAACTAGCCATTTTTATTCTTAGATAAAAGAGATAAAGCAGATTGGCATAGGTGAGGCAGAATAAGGGTAGTGAGGGAGGCAGGGGCATTGGGAGTTAAAACAGAGAGAATGACACAAGGGGTATTGCAACATACTACATCTACACTTGAAAGTAAAACAAAAAAAAAAAATGGAGAAGAGATAAACTTCACGTATTGAATCAACAGTACACGAGGTGAAAAGATTTTGTGGGAGACCACAAATCTGAATAGAAGTCAGGAGTGCCTTTTTCTCCTTCTGCCAATTAATTTTCTCACATTTTGCCATTAATCTTTAGAAAATTAACCATCCCCCAATAGCTATCTTCATAAATCATAATAAAAAGAAACCAACTAGAATTTATAAAGTGTTGCAAAAATGGAAGACTAAATGAATAAAACCCCAAATTTCAGTGAAGAACATGCAGTGGATAAAGGAATCGCCTAAGTAAAGATATGGAATCAGTAATTCAGACAAAATTACTCTATTTGCAAACAGATTAATGAAATGCGATATTTTAAATTGCTTTTATATAACAAAATGTCAGAAGAGTTAAAATATTTCATTATGATTCATAAGATAATAGATACAAATGAAAAGTAGATTGAGAAAGATCAGGAAACAAGCGAACTAGAAAACAGAAATAAAAGCTTTCAATTGCCCTCCCCCAACCCAACACACAAAGAGAATAAACATAATTGAGAGTTATAAAGAACAAATATTAAAAATAAAAAAGATAAGAATTATAGAGAAAATATTAAATGTAAAGGCAAATGAGACAGAGAAGAACATAGTCTTCCTAAACAAAATAAACGGACTAAATTGAGGAGAAAGAAGAAAAAGACACAAGGGAAGAAACTTGCGTAGAATAATAGAAGTCTAGGAATAATAGCTGGAAATTACTATTAAGGCATGCTGTGCTAACATTTCTCAACTTCAGTATTTGTTAAAGAACTATAAAGGCTGTTGGGCATAAACAGCAAACGGGCTGCAGAGGAGACTGGGTGGGCATGACTGTAGAGATTAGACTGACCTCAGACTTTGCGTTAATGTGACAGTGAACCGTTTCTCCACAAACATTTGAGTAGGTCACGTGACCCAAAAAATTATAACCAGTGAGAATTGCTGTTGACCTACTGAATAGTCATGAAACTATATAAAAGTGTGATGCAGATGATTAATTGAAATATATATTAAAACACTGGGAAGATGGGGAAGGAGGGACACTGAGTATGAGCTTTGTGATTGCAGATCAAAATATGCTATGATTTTTGACATTCTAAACTTAATAGTAAGATTTTTTAAATTTCAGAGGTGAGTAAAAAGAGAGTGGGAGAAATAGAAATACATTATTTTCATTTTTTCACTATGCTTTTTATAAATGAAATGTTATTAAAATAACGTGCTTTAATATTTTTCTTTATGACATCATTTAGATAGTGATAGCTCTTGTAATAAGAATCTACTTGACTTTCAGCAATGCCTTTAGTTATACTTATTATATTTTATTGTTAAATTTCATATAATTTAATAATTTACCATTTTAATATAATAGATGCATAATTCTTAATTTTTGTCTCTCTCTTCCCTCTCCTACCTCACCTCTCTATCTCACCATAGAGCTATAACTAGAATAATAATACTAATATTTAAAGATAATTATTTCAAGACAGTAGGCTTTGGAATAGAAACTTTAAACATTTTTGTAATTATATTTTAGATTAATTTAAAATAGCAGATAAAATTTGTATATAAAACAGTAATTTTTAAAAACAAAATCAATAATTTTTTAAAAGAAAATAACTTACTATGTAAGTTTTGGCACTCCTCTCAAATAAGATTAAATGTCATAAGTAAAACCCAAGTATACTTGTAAATATTCAAATATATTGGTATGTATCTTGGCTCAGCAAACTTTTTTCCAAAGGGCTATGAAGAAATATTTTTGATTTGTGGACCATATAGTCTCTGTTGCCATTATGCAACTCTGGTACTATATTAGGAAAGCATCAATAGACAATGTGTAAACAGATTGGCGTATTCTAATAAAACTTTATTTACAAAAATAAACAGTTCAGGGTCATGGTTTGTTGACCCCTGGTATACACATCATCAATTTTAGTGATTAAAATGTTATCAGTCTTTCTCAGAAATATTGAAGAAAACTAACACAAAGTATTCCTGACGTACTGATTTTATATTCTTGCTCCAAATATTTATTACTATAATACTTAGCTTTGAGGAGAAAGGGGTAGTGTTGCTAAATTATTTACATACATATTCCTATACACACAAATTTTAATATCTTTTGATGTCTCAAAAATGCCAACAAATTAGTAGAGAAGAGCATATTTTGCTTCTTACAGTTCATATACACTGTACTCAAGTTGACTTCTGCCTTTCCATTTTACATTTCTAACCTTGATCTCACAATGTAGAGGAGCTGGACTAGATCACTGAGTGCATCAAGTAAATTTCATTCACACAAGAAGAAAATTTACTGCCACTAAAATTAAACAATTTATCTATGGGCACCATGGTAGTTCTTGCCAAAGTCAGGACTGGAATTCAGTCTCCTGGCTCGCATTGCAGAGTTTTGCCCACTACGCTGTATTATTGTACATGGCTTGGTTCAAGCCACAGAGGAAATCGTTAATTATATATTAACTATCTGAATATATATATATATATATATATATATATAAATATATAAATATCTATTTATAAATATCTATATAAATATAAATAAATAAGAGGGAGTCTTTCTCTATCACCAAGGCTAGAGTGCAGTGGCACAATCTGCTCACTGCAACCTCTGCCTCCTGGGTTCAAGCAATTCTCCTGCCTCAGCCTCCCGGGTAGCTAGTATTACAGGCATACACCACCACGCCTGGCTAATTTCTGTATTTTTAGTAGAGACAGTGTTTCAACATGTTGGCCAAGCTCGTCTCAAACTCCTGACATCAGGTGATCCATTCGCCTCCGCCTCCCAAAATGCTGGGATTACAGGTGTGAGCCACCGCGCCTGGCCAACAGTCTGGTTATTATATTAGGAATACATTTATATTGACTCCTCTGTTCTGAGTACTTATTAGTTATCCTGATTCTATTTGTTCTCTATTTTAAAAATAGGTTTATAAATAAAGTTACGTAAGAGCAATCAGTCATTACACGGGTAGTGACATTGTTCTATGTGTACACCCTGTTTCATTAAGAAACAGCCCTTTCATAAAATGGCATGAAACACAGCTGCAGTTGTCCCTTTCTTCTCAGTCATTTCTAATAGTTTAGAATAGTGGTTCTCAAACTTTAACATGTATCAGAATCACCTGAAGAGCTTGCTAAAACACAGACTGTTGGGGATCCCTCCAGCGTTTCTGATTCAACAGGTTTGGGATGATGCCTGAGAATTTGGATTTCAGACACGTTTCCAAGTGACAGTGGTACTACTAGTCTGGGTAAAACACTTTGAAAACCACTGATTTAAATTCTCATCCCTAAAGGTAAATTATAATTACTAGGAGAGGCATTAATCCACTAATTAATTCCCAGCCTCCATCATCAGTTGGCATAGAACGTCCAGGGCTTGAGACTGGGTATCAGTATTTTTTCTTATTCTTAATCTTTTTTTTGTTGTTTAATTAATCAGTACATTAATAATTGTACAAAGTTATGGGGTACAATTTGATGTTTCAGTACATATCTGTGGTGTGGAGAGATTGAATCAGTGTATCCATCACTTCATGCACTTACCATTTCTTTGTGGCAAGAACTTTCAAAAGCCTCTCTTCTAGCTGTTTTGTAATATACAGTATTTTACTGTTAACCATAGTCACATCATCCTACTGTGTAACAGGACACCAAAATTTAATCCTTGTATCTGTTTGTAACTTTGTACCCACTGACAATCTCTCCTTATTCTTCTCCCCTCTTCCTCCCCCAGTCTCTGGTAGCCACTGAAGTATCTCAGGTGATTCCAGTATATAACCAAACCTGAGAAACAATTGAGTCATGACTGAAAAAGTTTATTTGGCCTTATGAATTCATGCAATATTGTCTTAACATATTTCTCTATTATATGGGGATAATTTTTATATTGTCACTTCATGGCAAAGAATAAATGAGGTAGTATAAAGATGCCTTTACCAAGTGATTCCATAAACCGAAGGTAATTTAAGCTTAGTTTTATGCTACTAATTTTATAAAGTGCTGTGAATATAGGTAGTTATAGAGTTTTACTTTTAAAATGTTGTTATTGTAAAAATTTTGCCATTAATAAAATTACTTTATGCCTCAGATCCTTACAATATTTTTATTAGCATCATACAGACAGCATAGATACGAACTTCTAAAATTCTTAATTTCTTTTTTTACAGTGAAAGATGCAGATGTACTTTGTATGGACATACAGATTCTGTGAACAGCATTGAGTTTTTTCCTTTCTCCAATACTCTTCTGACAGGTTCTGCAGACAAGTCCCTGTCTTTATGGGATGCAAGAACGGTAAGCAAATCATCTACTTTTCTCCCAGGTTTTGATAAGTCTAATTACTCTTGGTCATTCTTTGGCTATTGAATGTGACTTAAAAAGTGATTGTGCAAGGGCATCTCTGGCAAAAGAACAGTAAAAAGTTCATATTACAAAATCCTTTCTATGCACTTGTATTCATTCTGCCTCCCAAATGTGATCAGGTAAAAAAAAATTATCTCATGAAACATTAATTCAACAATTATTTATTGAGATAGAAACTGCTGGTTCACAGGAAACAAAGGGAAACACACACTCTCCTCCCCTTAAGGATCTTGTAGCTAGGTAAAGGAAGAGAAACGACATTATTTTGATGAAATAAGACATGCGTTAATAAAAGGGAAGACTGTGTAAGTACAGGGGAAAGCAAGAAGGAGAACCCATACCTGCTGAAAGAATATGGATGGCTTTCAAAGGAGCCTATGCTTGAGCTAAGATCTGAAAGATGAGTAGGATGTATAGGTCATCTGGAGAGGGATAGATTCTAGGATAGGGCAGTATGTGCACAAAATCACAGAGATGTGAGGCTGCAATGACATGTTCTGACAGTAATAATACAAATAGATAGAGCTTAAGGAAAAAGAGGCATGATAGGCAGGAGTGTACAGAGAGACCAAAAAAAAAAAAAAAAAGATCATGGAGTATTTGATTAAAGTCTTAAACGATTTCTGAGGGAATTGAAGAGCATTAAGCAAACTGGGCAATGTAATCAGATTTGCCTTGTCAACTGAAGAATGACAAGATTTGCCTTGTCAACTGAAGGTTCATCCAATTAAAAAAGAAATTCCTTATATGGGGTTATAGCCTGCAGCATGGTTGTTCTGACAAGCTGGAAAGTATAGCCTCCAGCCAGAAGCCAGAAACAGATACTTCAAGGGCGAAGCAAAGGGAACAGGAATTTATACTGAGCTGGGTGGCCAAACATTTCATAAGCTTGAAGAGGAGTCATGATTATTGATGAAAGGTGAATCACGTACATGCACGATATACACTAATGCCCCTTCATGGGTCCCATGCACCAAAAATGACAGTTTTAGCATGATCCAAGGTTGAAGTTTTCAACCACCTGACATCAAAAGGTGAAGTAAAGATCATGAAAACCCTTTCTGCACATGTTCCACAGACTGGCCAGAACCACTTCATGGTCAGTGGTCTCTTATCAGCCTAAAAGAGGAAGGGCAGTATCAGGTGACTGGTTGATATCAGTATTGGAGTCTTTTGAAAGGGTTGGTTTTGGCCAGGCACGGTGGCTCATGCCTGTAATCCCAGCAGTTTGGGAGGCCGAGGCAGGTGGATCACTTGAGGTCAGGAGTTAGAAAACAGCCTGACCAACATGGTGAAACTCTGTCTCTACTAAAAATACAAAATTAGTCGGGTGTGGTGGTGCATGCCTGTAATCCCAGCTACTTGGGAGGCTGAGACAGAATCGCTTGAACCCAGGAGGTGGAAGTTGCAATGAGCCAAAATCAGCCTGGGCAACAAAAGCAGAGCTCCATCTGAAAAAAAAAAAAAAAAAAAGAAAGAAAGAAAGAAACGACAAGAAAAGAAAGGTTGGAGGGAAAAAGGGAGGTAGAGGAAGAAAGGGCTGGTTTATGTTTAGCCCTTAGGGAAGCGAGGCTAATGGTCATTATCAAGGGAGGGAGTGTAAGGAAGCTTGTCTGAATATCATCCTGTCCTGGCTAAGAGCTCAGTTTTCAAAGTTACTCTGGGGTCCCCTCGGCTAAGAGATACTCTGTTCAGTTGGCTGGGGGAGGGCCTTACCATTTTACTTTTATTTCTTATTTTTTAGAAAGATGAGTTTGATAGCAGAGTAAGGGAGTCAGTCTTGTGAGGAATCTAATATAACAGGATACGAGTGGATGAGAATTTGAGCTAGGAAACGCAGATGAAAGGAGAGAATGCATGAAAGATAGGAATTTTATCAGAATTTGAAGAGTGATTAGAGGTGAAGATTATGGGAGGAGGAGGACTTTAGGGTGAGCAACTTTTCCAATTTGTCTAGGAATGAGGGTTTTCCTGAGTCAAGAGATTTTCAGAGCTAAAATTGGACAGATCTGGATTACTGTAGGTTCAAGAGTGAATTTGATTTGAAGAAAAGTGTATTAGTCTGTTCTCACCCTGCTGATAAAGACATACCCAAGACTGGGTAATTTATAAAGAAAAGAGTTTTAATGAACTCACAGTTCCTTATAGCTGGGGAGGCCTCACAGCATGGCAGAAGGTGAATGAGGGAGCAGAGTCACGTCTTACATGGCAGCAGACAAAAGAGCATGTGCAGGGCAATTCTTTATAAAACTATCAATTCTCATGAAACTTACTATTGCAAGAACAGCATGGGAAAAACTCACCCTAATTCAATTACCTCCCACTGGGTCCCTACCAGGACATGTGGGGATTATTACAATTTAGGGTGAGATTTGGGTGGGGACACAGAGCCAAACCATATCACAAAGTAAACACAATGTAGGGACTACACTTTCAAACAGTTTGGCTGTGAAGATGAACAGGAGAAGAGATTGTAGCTCTAAGTTCAAATAAAGGAAACTTTTGTTCAAGTAGGATACAACGTGTTTATTTGCTTATGGGTAAGATCAAGGGAGATGAACTGAAAATGTAGGAAGGAGAAGAGATAACACAGAGTTTGTTAAGCACAGATTTTTGTAACTTGAACAATGCCAATATGTGTAAAACAAGGCCTCCATATTATTCTTAGCAATATTTTATAAAGATTACAAGAAAAACGGCTCCAGTTGACTCTATAAAAAAATAAATATTCATAAATTTTGATTCCTGGGTCAATAAGAAAGAGAAATGTAATTTCTCCCCATTTATTTCCCATAAACAAAACACGATTGACATAAATAAAGGAATATGGTGATGGACATACAGATGATTTTAGCAGGGATGCAATTCAGTATGTGAGGCTGTTTAGACCTCAGAGACCAATTTATTTAGGATATGTGAAGAACAGAATATCCTCGGCTTCACACCTTATAGAAAAATCTGAGGTAAAGGTACCCATATCTTTGTCACCAACTTTACATGTTGCATAGATGTAAACTTCTGAGGAAGCAGAAGTCAAGGGGGCATTGTGGGAAGAGTGCATCAAACATGACTGAAGAACAAAATCATGATGATTTGTTGTTGGGTACAAGGGTCTCACAGTCTTCTTCTTGCTTTAAAATAGCTTCTTAGACATTAATGCAGTGGAGTTTGTGCCTGCTAATGGAGCTTCAATGGAAAAGCAAGATTTCAATACATTTCACCCTAAAAACTTAGTTGTGAAGTGTGTATAAAAGTGATTGGTAGAGGAATATCCATAGAGAAAATATTAATTTAGCGGTGACCAAAATTCTATTGACTTCAAGGTTTTTTTTGCTTTCTCTCTCAAGTGCTGTAACTGAGTGTCCTAAGAAAGTGTATTTCTTATTTACTTTCTCTTATGTGAAAAATAGAAGCACTAATGCTTAGAAGTAAAACTGCTCTAATTTAAAAAGTTGCCTCTCATATATATGTGCCTTGAATGCAAGCAGCTGTTTATTCATGGTGACCTTCCGCCCTGATGTTGTGAGCTCTTTCTTATTCTTATTCACCATGGTGTCAGGAGAAAAAGAGAGATTCAGCACAGCACAGTGCCTTCAGCATAGTGCAATTGTATATGCATTGAATGTAAGAGCATAGACGGTTTGCGAATCCCATTTGTATAACTTTAATCAACATACATATTTTTAAGTTGACTTAATGGCAAATTAAAATTTATATCACTAGAATTATTATTGCAATTTTATTATTATTAGGCATGCTAGCTTTATATTAATTAATACTGGAAAAGTGGCTCTAAAATATTTTGCTTTAAATGAAATATTATAAGTATATGATAAATGCATCATTTATGAGAAATACAGTTCATTTAATGAGTTTGTTTTCTAAAAATATTTTCAGACCAAGTAGAAAAAAATCAAATGGATAGCTATGTACTATAGAAAACTAGCACATAATACAAAAGGAAACTCATTTAAGTTATTAATTACTAAATAATGTAAATTTTTAACTAAAGTATTGATATAAAATTCTACAAGTGAAATATGATAATCCAATAATTAAACAGAATCATTCCACTAACATTGTATTAGGCAGCTGTGGTGACTTCATTTCAGATGTACCTAATTTATTAAAAAACAAAAAAGAATAAAAATATTTAAATCACCCAAATTTTTTAAAAATTGTATTTTTCTATACATTGTTTTTAAAAGACAAAGACATGTGTTATATGTTGTCTATATAATGTGGAATTATTAGTTTTTATCCAAATGGCCACAAATAAGTTAAAATAAATTTACATTTTTAGTTAAATATTAAGAGATTTTGAAAAGGGTAACCGAAATAGCTAAAGTTTTTTCTATGTTGTAATAATAAGAACTGTATAACATATTGTTATGGACGGCATTATTTGATTTGCAACATCAACTGAATCCATGGTGCAGTGGCATACTTCTTCTTTATAATTTTAAAAATATGTTAATTCCTTGATACATGATAAATTGTCAGGTTATACTGAAAATCTGGACGTAAAAGGAGATTAATGACTTTCCTCTATTAGTAAAGCAGTAATGGTACATTTTGTCCGCTCATTGTGATCAGTTACTATTGAGACACCCTCTAAAATTATTTTTTGATGAAATGTGAAAATGACCAGTGGATTGTATTCCTATAAATTAGTTTTAAACCTCCTTCTCCCACTCTCAAACATACACCAGTTTTAAATCATTAATCTCATCTAACACCTTTATTAACAAAGATAATGAATGTGGAGGCCTAAGTCAGTTTCTAAGTCAACTGGACTTATCAGCTCTGAATTTTGCAGAGGATGAGGAAAGGGATATAAATCTCTATAATTACCAAAGGGAGGCTGTAAAATAACTTGCAGTTTGAAAACTCATGAAATTGCTCAGTTTTACAGGGCTGCATGCATTTTTCTTCAAAGTTATAAAACAATAAAACTATTTTATTAAAATTGAAAAATAAGATTGCTTTATTGTCAGAAAGTGATATATCACAAAGCAAACTTAATGAAAAATTATGAGGCCTTCCTAAAAGACAGCATGAAAAGTCTCGATGTACATCCAGTGATTTGGAAGTCTGTTTAAAATAAATGCAATGAGATTGTTAGTCATCCACAAGCCTAATGAAAATATTAAGGCTTTTAAATTTTTTTTAAAGAGAAGGATGTTTTCAGTGTACAGTAAAACATAGAATGAGAATGAAATGAATAATACTTCTATGAGTTGTGTCAGAGCTGGGCTGGCAACAGAGTTGCTGACATTTTGTCTCTTGCCATGAGTCAGACACCAAGGGCTCATGACCTGGACTGCCTTTAGTGGCCATGCCTTGCTCTGTAGACAAACTGTGGGCATTTGTCTAGCTTACAGCATTCTCCTGACTTAGCTTTAGCCAAAAGATCCAATAACTTGTCACTGCGAGTTTCTATAAAGTGGATAAACTAGGAACTCACACAGAGTTAACCTATTGGCTCCTCTTTAGTGCCAGACCCACGTCTACTCCATAGTTGAGCCTGCACCCTGCATAGGCCTGTTGGTTTTTCCAGACAGGATCTGATGAACTATTAGAGGAGCCTGATATTATACAGAAGCCAGAATGTGGAAACAAAGGGAAAGCTTGCACCTCTCTCTTTTATTCCTCAGCCATACTTGATTTAGTAATATTAACTGGAGATCTGTGTGCTAGGCAACATCCTAGGTTCTAGAGAGGTGACTGTGACAGAATCCCTGACCTCAGTGAACACACAGACTCTCAGGAACAAGGTACAAAGGTAAATGATCTTAAAATAATGTAGTAATTGCAATATATTCTATATAACTATAGCTTTGGCTTTTCTGTGCCAAAACTGACTCTCCCAAGAGCTGATTGATGGTTAACATTTATTGAATGTATACTTTGTGCCATCATTTTACCTACAAAATCTACATATCTTACTGGAATCTGATTCAGTGGGTACCATTATTATCTTTATTTCACAATTGAGAAAGTGGACCCTGGGGGAAGTAAAGTAAGTTGCCAAGAACAGCCCAGTGGTCAGTGACAGCGTGAGAAAGCAGGCTGCCTCTCCAACCACAGTCTTCCTTCTTCATGCCTTTGGCCATTTCCATTCCTCTATTAATCCACTTAGTCCCTTTGGATTTCTACCACAGTAGCCTCCAAACTATTTTTTATAAAATTGTTTTAAGCAATTACTACTGTGCTGGTATTTTATGTATATAATGATTTATATATACACCTGAAATAAAAATAATGGCAGAAAGATATAATTAGCAATATTAAAAAGTCTATATGATTCTTTTATAGCCTCTAATTTTGTTTGGTTCTGACCAAAATATAATAATGACATTAAAATGACAGTTCAGTGATAGAAGATGACTCAATGTGCTTATATTTTCAAGGAATCCTGATTATTAATTTTAATTAATGACTGTAGTGCAATGATTCACAAGTATGATCTATGATTGGATTTAGCAGCTATCAGAACTGCAAATGATCCCTTGACAAAAATACAGTATTCTAAAAGGAAAAAAAGGTATGATAGTCTTTACTTACTAGTGTTCAGGCTGGACTTTCGAATTCATCCGTTAATTATGCAAAGGAATTTTTGTTAAAATTTTGCTAGGCTTTCCTCTTGTTCTGAGGTCAATCAGTTGGTTTTGCAAATGAATGGGAAGTTTTCAAATATTTTAATACTATGTGGAAAATTCTTTCTTTAATTATACTTTAAGCTTTGGAATACATGTGCAGAACGTGCAGGTTTACTACCTAGGTATACACCTACCATGGCGGCTTGCTGCATCCATCCGCCCATCATCTACATTAGGTATTTCTCCTAACATTAACCCTCCCCGGTCCTCACACCCCATGCTATCCCTCCTCAACACTCCCCCACCCCCCAACAGTCCCCAGTGTGTGATATTCCCTCCCTGTGCCCATGTGTTCTCATTGTTCAGTGTGGCGATTCCTCAAGGATGTAGAAATAGAAACGCCATTTGACCCAGCAATCTCATCATAGGGTATATACCCAAAGGATTAAAAAACATTCTATTATAAAGACACATGCACACTTATGTTTATTGCAGCACTGTTTACAATAGGAAAATTCTTTTTCTACATTTTCTTAAAGTTAGATAGAAGAATTTTTGAAGTTTACTGTCCTTATGTAGATTTGGCAAAGGAAACACTAATAATATCTGTTATCAAGTGTTGTATAGCATAAGTTTCTTTTGAAAATGGTGCCTTATTTGTTTGCTGTTAAAATGTCACCTTTACTTTGATAGAATGATTAGCTATATTATTATTTTCAAAAATACCTGCTTATAGCTCATTGTGGGCAAATGCCTATTATCACAAAAAAGGCCAATAAATTAGGAATATTTGTATTTTGGGGAGAAAAACATAAACTTTTCTTTTAAATGCTTTGCTAAAATAAAATTGTGAAATTTAAATTTTGTGGGAGTAGAAAACTTTTTTTGGTCACTTTCTGATTTGTTACAAAATATTATAAAGATTCTAATCGTCAAAGGGCTAGTGTATTTGTCTGTTTTCACACTGCTAATAAAGACATACCCAAGACTGGGCAATGTACAAAAGAAAGAGGTTTATTGGACTCACAGTTTCACATGGCTGAGGAGGCCTCACAATCATGGCAGAAGGCAAAAGGTACTTCTTACACTGTGGTGGCAAGAGAGAGAAACTTGTGCAGGGAAACTCTGGTTTTTAAAACCATCGTATCTCATGAGACCCATTCACTGTCATGGGAATAGCACAGGAAAGACCTGCCCCCATAATTCAGTCACCTCCCACCATGTCCTTCCCACAACACTTGGGACTTATGGGAGCAACAAGATGAGATTTGGGTGGGGACACAGAGCCAAACCATATCAACTAGTTAACATAAAACTAACCAACTTATAAATATTGAAAGTGCTTGAAAGTGCAATAATACATTGTAATACAAAATTTAAAATAAGCCTCACTGCATTGGTTTTATATACTGTGTTGCACCTTCCTTGGAACACCTTGATTCAAAGACCTTCATCTTGCACAAATCCTATGCAAAGTCTTACTGCTTTCTCACTAAATAAATGTCTACTACTATCAGTTATAAAATATACTACATGCTAACCATGTGATGTTAACAACTACATGAAATAATCTTGCCTCTGAAAAAGCTTTCCCTTTACTATTTCGTCTGCCTGACACACCTTCGCCCCTCATTGCCTAAAGAATTTGCATTCACCCTTGAAGTTTCACTTCACCTTCCCTCCAGATCTCCCCATGCTTGTTCCTCTGGATTAGGCATCCCAAGAGGTAAACAAGAAAACTTTGTACCACATAGAATTTTGCTAATTATTTCTTTGTAAAGTATTTTAAAATGTTGAAGCTGGTGAATGAGACATTTTTTTTCTCCATAAAGAGACAAGCCTTACCAATTAGCTAACATTTTATGTAATTACTAAAGGCTTCAGGAATGGGTTACAAGAAGATATGCTTGAAAAAAATCAGTGTACTTAATTGCATTTTTATAGAACTCTGGACTTATATCCTATATTATCTTGTATTTATGTCAGACAGTATAGCACAATAGGAGCATGCCACCATTCTGCCTGGATTCAAACCCCACATTTGCTGCTTATTTACAGTGTGTCCTTGGGCATATTGTATAAAATATTTTTGCCACAATTTCCTCATTTGTAAAATGTACATATAGTACTACTTATCGTATAAGGATAAAATGGGCATTAAATGATTAGTCTTATGATGTGCCCAGAAAAGAACTCAATATCTTTTAGATATTCTTATGGAGCCTCTCATACCATGTAACTGCTTAGTTATATTCTGCTATCATGAAACTCAGAGCTTTCTTCTCCACTTTCACAATGGTTGAATAATAGGTGCTCACCAGGTGTTAAAGGAAGTGAAGGAAATATGGAGGGTAAAAAGAGAGAAGTGAGGGAGGGAAGGGAAAAAAAAAAGAATTTGTCTTATCATGGTGTTTTTTCTAACTCAAAGCCTTGTGTCATGTGCTTCAGATATAGTCTATTTCACTTTCATTTCTTTTCCTTCCTTTCCATTTATATTGATGCCAAGGCATAGCACAAAATTCTCACTAAATATTTAAGAAATACATAAATTATGCAATTTTCTTTCTCCAAGTTATACTGAAATTCTATCCTCTTCCTTCTTTCTCGATAATAACATAGACTTCTTTTTCTGCTACTATAATTTGATGACATGAACCGCATCAGACATCTCAAGTTATCTTTCAGTCAGCCTCTAATGTTGCATCTGACATAATTTAATATTCCCCTTCCTCAATTATCTCATTTTATTATGCCTTTTATTTCAGTCAAAACTTCTTTTTTCCCCTCATGTTTTCTCTGGGTATCTGTGTAGCTTCCAGTATGTTATCACTTATGTTCAATAGGATTTTATGTTACCACTTATGTTCAGTAGGCTTTTGTTTTCCTCATAACTTCTCTCATTTAATTAAAAATGTAGTAGAAGCTGTGTTCTAAGAAAACGTACACTGATTAAAATGGACATTATGTTTCTTTCTCCAGAGTAGTATTAGCACCAATAGTAAAAAATTCAGATTTTCTACAAACATGACTACTTGGTTTGGCTTTCACACCATTCTCTAGAGGAGTAACATTTGAGTGGCTATCAATTGCTTCTGAAGGCATTCATTAAAAAATTGTGTGTGTGTGTGTGTGTGTGTGTGTGTGTGTGTGTGTGTGTGTGTGTGTTTTCTAAAATACATAAGATATTCAGAACTTACAGTCATAGCACTTGCATTTGCCATTAGCTTAAGGTATAAGAACATAGATTTTAAGTTATTATAGACTATAAATCAGATGTTTTGCTTTTTAGGTAGAAAAGCAATTTACCCAAATAATTCAATTGTTTGAAAATTAAACATAAGTATTTTTAATACACAGTAAAATCATTATATCTTTAATAATAGATCAATTTAATATGCTATAAGGCTTTAAAAGGTTGTTATTTAAGCTTCCTAAAACTTTTGTGTATCTCATGCCTTCCACATAAAACCTTTGCATACACATCACAAATATCATCATTCCTTTCTTCTTTTCCTTGCAGCCACTATAAATGGTATTACAATGACCAGCAGTGGGAAGACTGGATTTTTTATATAGGTATCAGCCTTTCAAAAATATCATATTCAATAATAGAAACAATTAATTATTAATGACTATGTATTTCCACCTGAAAAATAAATATACGTTAGCTTTATGAGATTATTTTAATTTCATAAGAGTAAAAATATTTCTTTATACTTCATGCAGTTTATTTAGATTTCATCCAATAAAGATGTAATGCAGAGATATGGTGTTGGATGAGACAAAAATAAGTAAAATTCCTAATCAATTATTTAGAAAACTTAAATATTCTCAATACTCCTGTCATGGTTGAGACACCATGCTGTACTGTTTATTTTTATGCTGAATTTTTTGATTTGGAACGAATTCTAGAGTCAGAAGGAACAAGCCAAAAGAAAACACCAGGTATAAAAATTCATCTTTTGAATAAAAGTAATAGGGGCTAAATTATCTCGAAAACTTTTCCTCATATGCTTACTCAACTGATTTTTATTCATTGCTGAAATGATTTTTCTATAACAATTTTAGAGTATTAGGACAGAAATTATGATCTATAAGGGTAGGAACTTTAGATATCGTAAATATAGATGATTTAATTCCTTTTGTATTCCTTAATATCTGTAATTAACATATAGCTTAAATAATATCTGTAATGAAAATAGAGATAGTTATGTTCTTAGGGAAGAATAAGATAAATGAATTATAAAGCATAATTTAATTCTATATTATTGTGAAAGTTATATAACACATTCTGAAGTTAGAGATATTTGTTTATTCCTTCTTTTGAATAATGTCAATGAATATTTCTTCCTTTTATTCAGATTGCCAGTGAAATTATGTTAATAGAAGATTGATAGCTAAAACCAAAGGAAAAGGCATGCATCTACATTTTGCGGTGTGATAACATTTAGATCTCTTAGAAAAACTATGATTTTTGACTTATTTGAATTAAATAAGGAATAGGATTATTACATATAGCTATTGAAGGTAACTTAATCATAGAATATAGTTGGCCAACAGGAAACCCCAGTGGATTGCCTCTAGTCTTTTCTGCTTAAGCATAATAATGTAGAAAAATTATGGATTCTGAAGCCAGATAGATTGGAATCTGAGTCCAACGTTTTTTAAAGTTATCTCCTCGTTGTGCATTTTGAGGCATAATATTAAATACCTGTAAAATTCAGCATTCTCTCTTTAAATTGGAATGATAATTAAATTACAGCATTAGCACTGGAAGTATTTATTTGGAAGTCAAAAAGGGTCAATTATTTTTCCTTTTTTGGTAGCTGAGAATTTGAGAGACAAATCTTCTCATGATTTGTAGCTCTGTCTCTTTTGTTAATGGGTTAAATGATGCTTAATGAAATTGAATAATTCCATTGCAAATTGCTACACCCAGTGTTTTGTGTGTTGCTGTCACTTTCAAGAACTCAGTGACTATAATTCATTGCATCAATTTGTAATCCACAGTCTGTATAGTGTTTATTTGACCTATCTTACTTGTAGTCTCTTAATTTTACTTCAATATATAGAAATTAGGAATAAGCTTGTCACTGTTATTTATTCTTTTATACATTCAACCCATTAAAACTTCAATAGTGATGGCTTGGCTGTACTTCAAGTTAGTCTTAGCGTCAGATTCACTCTAGCACTACATGTTAATTATAATTTTTAGATAGCACTGATGAAACTGGAAATTAAATACAACATTTTTGGCAAGTTTTTCTGGCATTCCGATGTGGTTGTTATTGTGATCAGTGTAAGGTAAAACAAAGCCTCTTGTTATATAGATTTACAGCCCCAGAAATTATCAGCAATTCATTAAAGTACATTTATAATGGATAATCATTGATGTGCCATATAATCATGTTTTTATTCCCAACCATTTGGTGTACTCAGGCATTTCATTCAATAAAGAAAATACTGTAAAAGAAGACAAGCTGCCTTGCATACCCTACTGTTTTGACACTTGTGCATTCTATATATAAAGACAAAAGCCTTAAATTTAATCATATAACTTAATTAAAATTATATGATTAAACTCTAAACTTCTGTAAAATATATACTAAGATGGTTACTTACTAGTTATTTGACTACCCAGCACCCAAGAAATATTCTTTTGAAAGGAAATTGACAATATATGAAATTTGGTAAGAGGCAGAGCTGATAAAATAATCATCAAATAGAAAACAATAAACATTAAAGCATAATTAAATAGGGGAAAAAAGTAGAATTTGTTTATTCATAACTGTTTATTTAGAAAGGCTAAAAACAAACCATACTTCATATTACTTTGCCTTACTATTAGCATCTTCTTATAATTTTTACTTTTTCAATAACATATACATACCTACATATATGTGCATACACATATATACACACACAGAAAATATATATATGTATTTTCTATATATACATAGAAAATATATATTTTCTCACTATATATATATATATATATATATATATATATGGAGAGAGAGAGAGAGAGAGTTTTATTAGTTTAGAAATAAAATTATCATAAAGGTAGCCTAGGAAAATTCAATGGAAAAATCAATAGCTTCTTCTCTGCTGACAAAACAAAAGTAAAAGTTAAAAGTGCAAAGTAACAGTACCAACAAAAATGTTTGTGTAATGTAAAAGAATAAATCTGCATAATAATGAAATATGTAAATAAATATTACCGTACATGTGAGGATATGCCAGATTCTTTCACTGAAAGAGACACACTTCTTTATAAACTAATATATAGGCTTAATTAAATTCCAAGGAGATCCTAATGATGTTTCTGCTTTGGGTGTATTTGGTAAACAAAGTTATTCTAACCTTTATATCTCATTAGATACAGCAATTGATAAATAAAACCGGAGGGAAATGATTCATAAGAAAGACTAGCCTATCAGTTACTAATCTATAAAGTTACTTATATAATAAATATTATAGAACTGAAGAAAGATTGATAACCCAATCATGAAATAGAAGTTAGAGCTCTTAAACAGGCTCTTAATTATGTAGTATACAGTATAAAACAATTTATTTCAAAAAGGAAGTCTTCTTGAGACTTCTTCAATGAATCAAAGTCATGATTTTTTTCCCCTTCATTCTTTCCACATTTTGACTTGTTGCTGATTCTCAAATTTCTTTCTAAATCTTGTATATCTTTTTTTTTTCATTTACTTATTATGAAGTAAAACACTATTCAATGTAGGTAAGAGTAGATTTTAAAAATACTTTAAAAAAACCCTAAAAATAAATAATGACAAAATACTAGTATGATAACCTTTCCAATTTTTGTATGCTACAGATAAGCTTTATATTTAAACCCTTCTTTTCATAATAGTAGCACACTATAAATATTATAGAAATTAATTCTTCTTTACTGAATAACATACCTTGAAAATTATTTTAAATATTATTATATAAGCATTCCCATTCTTATTATCAATGTATTTTATATATATATATATATATATATATATATATACATACACACATATATATATATATATATATTTTATAGTTAATTATATAGATATATCACTGTTTGCTTGGACAATCTCTTACCATGAATATTTGGATTGTTTCTAAGTAATTGATCCTCTAAACAAGAATGCAGAAATATCCTTGCAGGTTTATTTTTTCACATTTGTCAATTCATTTCATTGAGATACATTTATAGGTGGTATAATTTGCACTTTTGAGAAGCATTTAAATCATACTGATAAAGGATCTATAAGATGTTGATGATTCCTAGCTATATACTTTTGCCAGCAATCCATCAGTGTCCACTTTCCCCCATTCTTATCACTTAAGTTTTAGCAGTTAGAGAAGATAAAATTATCTTGTCAATGTTTTAATATACTAAGTTTTAGGACTGTTAAAATGTTTTATATTATCATTAAGCATAAGTTTGATATGCAGGCTACCATTGACACTAATTTCTATATAATCTGTACTTCACATTTAAATTATTTGACACAGAGTTGTGGACAGTCATTTTCAAATTAGTATAGTTATCTGGTTTATTTGTTTTGAAATTCAAGCTAGTTGAATTTTTTGGCTAAATTTTAGTTACTTAATTTTTTCTGTTTGTCTTGGAAAATTGAGTGCTTCTTGGAATGTATCGTGATTGTCTTAAAGGTATAATACATGACTAAGGGTGTTATTTTAATCAACTAATGAAAATATATATTTGTAACATGACGCTTCATTTTCCCTACCACCTTCTTAACTGTTTTCTGGAATATTTGGTCTCTGGGATTTGTAGCACACATTTTTATGATGTGTGAGATTGTGGGGAGGTAGCACACTACTTTGCCTAAGTTACTTTACTTCAGTGTCCACCAGCCATGCCTTTTCTTTCTTTTCTGTATTCCCTGGAACTTGTGAATCTGATTATAGGAAAATGGTGGTGAGTTTGTGAGGAAATGACATAGAACAAGGAGCAGAACTAGTCTAATGTATGTCTTGCATCAGCTCATGGGATTTGAATCACACTGCTATCAATGTCTTAGTTCCTGAAAGCCGCAGCACTCAGGATCACTGGGCAGAGGTGATGGAGCCTTTTCACAATTGCTTACTACTTCATGAAGCAAAGCTACGGCTTGACATACTAAAGACTGGATAGGACTCTCAATCAGCCAAACTGGGAGTTAGGTTGTCTGTTGGCGTTTTTTAATGTGTTTGCATGCTTTAGTCTCTTGTTGTATCTTTATAAATAATACATATATCCTAATACTTAGTTACAATTTCATAGCAAGTACCTCAACCCAAGATTTTAATTTTACATACATTTGATAAAATTTTAATGGATACTTAAGAGTATTCTTAAATAAGAATCTTCTATATGTCTGATGTATTAACATTAAAATCACTTGATCTGAAATCCTGAATAATTTTACTATTTACTATATGTGTGAAAAAGTTAATTTTGTGAAAAATGTTTTTGTGTACATATTTGTGTGTGTGTGTGTGCATGCATGTATGTATATGTGTTGAATGATTGTATCACATTCAGTAGTATATCTCGCCCAAGACTTTACTACTGAATGTAATACAGTCCATCATTCAACACATAAGTACTGAATGCCTAACATGTAGCAGGGACTATACTCTGGATACAATTAAAAAAAAAAAATAAAAGTCTCTGCCTTTGGGGACACTTTTAGTAGAAGGAGAAAGATAAAATAGAAAAATAATGATTATGTTAGGTGATACATGTTATGGAGAAGAAATCAGGAATCAGGGAAATAATGTAAGAAATCTTTTGCTGGTGGGGAAAAAGATACAGTTAGAACAGGTCTAAAAAAAGTTTGGTGGGGAGTGTTCCAGAGAGAGAAAACTGCAAGTACAAAAATCCTGGAGTAGGAATGTGACTGATATGTGTTTGAGGAGGAAGCAAGGAACAGCTGGAATGGATGAATGAGGAAAGAGTGGTTGGAAAATATAAAATGAAGCCAGAGAATGTTTGTGGGTAGGAAGAGTGGACAAATTCCATAGTCTTGTAGGCTATTTTTGATGACTGGCCTTTCCTCAGGATGGTATGGGAAGATATTGGAGGGTTTCCAGCAAAGGAGTGGATTAGCTGCATTACCTTTTACCACACTAGAGGGTAGGGACAGGGGAAAGCAATGGTGGAAGCAGAAACATCCATTGTGGCTATTGTGATCCATCTATGCAAAAGATGGCAATGGATTGGACCAGAATAATAGCAAAGAAGAAGATGTGGTTAAAAAAAAAATTAAACACACACAGAAAAAGAATGTGGAGAAGAGAAGATGAACAGGGACTTGGAAAATGTGGAATTTCCCCACAAACAAGTCTTATTCCAACTTAACTCTAAGCCTTTGCCTACAAATCCAGCCTTCAAAGAGGAAACAAATTAGTAACTCACAAAAGGAAAAATAAATTAAACATATGACATTTAATACATTTTGCTTTTAACAGCTGTATTGAGGTATAATTGATTTTGTTTATTTTTTGAATTGCACTTGTTTAATGTATACAATTTGATGAATTTAGACATATGCATAAACCTATGCGTATCACCACAATCAAGGTATAAATATATTCATCACCTCCAAAAGTTTCCGTGTGTGTGTGTGTGTGTGTGTGTGTGTGTGTGTGTGTGTTTTAGGGGTAACAACAATCAACCTGAGATCTAGTTTCTTAAACTTACTTTAAGTGCTTAATACTATGTTGTTAACTTTAGGTGCTCTTGTACAGCAGAACTCTAGAGCTTATTCTTCTTGCATAATGGAAACTTCATATTAATTGACTAACTCCCTATTTCCCCCTTCCAATAGGTCCTGACAACCCTATTCTTTTTCTTCTTCTGTGATTTTGACTATTTTTAGATACCTCATATAAGTGGAATTATATAGTATTTGCCTTTCTGAGGTTGCGCTATTTTACTTAGCACAGTGTCTTGCAGGTTCACCCGTGTTGTCCCAAATAGAATTCCTTCTTCTTATGGCTAAAAACTATTGCATTGTATGTATATATCATATGATCCAGAACTCCCATGTTTATTACAGCATTATTCATAACAGCCAAGATATAGAAGCAACTCAAATTTCCGTTGGCAGATGAATGGTTAAACACACTAATTTTTATTTCTTACTTTGGCGTTGTATATTGACATTGTAAATAGTTCTTGTCAATTGATGTATTATTTTATGTATACTGTATAAAGAAGTGCTAGGTTTTTAGTGCCATAGTTAGAAATTTGAGGTGCATCTGAAATCAACTAAAAATGCATAGATTTTGTTTATAATATGTCTTTCAAGTTAATTCAAGTCTGTGAGTCTTTATTAAATGGCTGTGTGTTCAGAGATGACGAATTTACAGCAAATTTGATTCCAAAATAAACCTGGGAGGCTGCAGCAGATGGCATTGATACCTTGCCCCTAAACGTACATTTACTTGCAGCCGTACCGCAATTCCTGGGTCTCTTATCTACTTCCCACCTCAAGGGTTTTCATCTGCATCTCTCTGTTTCTCTGCCTAAGGCAATGCCACAGCTTACTAAGCTGAAGTTTGAGGAAGCTAATGCCCCTGGAGCAGGTAGAAGTCACTGGATAAATAGTTCAGCATTGCTGTCCCTCAGTCAGACAGTTGTGATTAATGTTTTATATGATTATGCATGGAGCCTCTGTATTAGTTTGTTCACATATGGCTTTAAAGAACTACCAGAGACTGGGTAATTTTTGAAGAAATGAGGTTTAATTGACTTACAGTTTTGCAGGCTATATAGGAAGCATGGCTGGGGAGGCCTCCAGAAACTAACAATTGTGGCAGAAGGCAAAGAGGAAGCAAGCATATCTTCACAATAGTGCAGCAGGACAGAGAGAGAGAGCCAAGGGTGGCGTGCTACACACTTTTAAACAACCACATCTCATGAAAACTCATTCACTGTCACTAGAACACGAAGGGGGAAACCTGTCCTCATGATCCAGTCACCTCCCACCAGGTCCCCCCTCCAACACTGAGAATTACAATTCAACATGAGATTTGGGTGGGGACACAGAGACAAACCATGTCAGTCTTCAATAAGTCCAAGTCCCACTTACTCAGAGTGTTCCCATAGTACACCCTTTACTGGCTTTTGCCCTTCTTTACTTCCCTTTTCCCCTCCCTTGCATGCACTTTCTGGTTCACCTCCCAAATAAATGAACTTCAAAGTATTTGTCTTAGGGTACACTTGGGGGTCCCACATCAAGCTAGACAGAAACACTTTAATGAAATTGCTCATGTCTGGTTGACAAAACAAAAGGTTCAGGAATGTTCCTCAGGAGTTAAGCAAAGGTTGTCGGTAGCTCCTTCTGCTTTGTTTTACCACTCTTTGCCCTTATTGGTCTCACTGTGACCAGCATTATAGAAACAAAGGGTCTTGAGCCGGTAAAGCTCAAAATGGTGAATGTGGTGCTGTTTCCATAATTAATCATTTTTTGTCAATAGTTACAAGTGAACACAGCCATGAAATGCAGAATGTATAATAGGAAGCTGAAAATTTATTGGCATATTGAGGATATGTAACAGTCACCTGTATCAGTAACAAAGGAGCAGGAATACAACTTCTCAGAGGCTGGGTTCTGTGTTTCTGACATCCAGAATAAAGCTAGGAAGAACTTACAGTCCCATAATAACTTAAAAGATGACACTGAATTTACAGTTTGGCTGAATTCTAGGGAAATTACATGTTGTAAGCCCTTGGTAAAGATCAGATTCAGAAATTATTTTTTTAAATGAATTTAAAAATATAAAGTAAAACCCCAATTTCCATATTAATTTGTGATGTGTATTTACTTTGGAGGTATGCCAACAGTTTCCGGCTTGGATAAATCTTGGTACAAAGATTATGGATGAGCTAATATTCAATACTCCTTTTCCTTCCCTCTTCTGGCATAATCTAAGCCTCAGGAACTGAAATATCCATAACATAAAAAAATTCTTTTTTATGTTATACAAAGAATCAGAAAGACACTACTTGTTTAGAAATTCAAAAGACTGTTAACAGAGAACACATATATCTCTTTTGACATGAAACTTTTCAGATAAATCAGGCAGCAGAGAAAGACAAAGTCAGAAAACGTTTATCATTTTCCTGCGATTACAGAAATCATGAAATGTTTTTGGTCAAAGCAGAGTGAACCAAATTAAGGTAATAATGTGTAATAGCTAATAAACTGATAACGCAGGTGACAACTGCAGCAAATGCATGATCACATATTTTTCCCCAAGATGGTTGTCAGTAGTCTCATGAGTATGTGTGTGGGCAATGGGAAGTAAGGCCCGTGTAAATAAAATGTATTTCTTTGCTTGAGGAATTTATAGTTTCGTGGTTGAAAAACATATATAAACATGTTATTTCTATACAGTGTGAAAACACTGAGTTTTTGACAGAGTTGGATGCAGAGAAGTGGCATGATCTGATTACATTTTCAAAGAATTACTATGGCTTTCCTGCTGAGAAGAGACTGAGAGGAGGCTGGAAGACAGTAATCCAGGTAGAAGAGTTTGGTGGACTAGGGACAAGATGGTAGCAGTGAGCTAATGTGAACATGACACAAAGAGATTATATTCATTCACTTATTCATGTCTTCATGCATGCATTCATTTATTCATTTAGACATAGGTCCATTCTTACCAAAAGTTGCAAGAATAACACAACATACACTTCACCCAGATTTCCCAAGTGTTAACATTTTACTATATTTGCTTTATCTTTTTCTCTCTTTGTCTGAGAGAGAGAAATAGACTTACATTTCTCCAAAATATTTGAGTAAATTATAGGCATGATACTCCTTCACCTCTAAATATACCTGGGTATAATATCTAAAAACAACAAAATTCCCTGAAACAATCATAGGAAAATTATCCAATTCAGTTTTAACATAGATATAGCTATCTAATCTACAGACCTTTTCCAAATTTGTTTACCTGCCCAGTAATGCCTTTATAACAAAAGAAAATCTGTAATCATGTATTGCATTCAGTTAGTTGTCTTGCCTCTTCCATTAATCTGCAGTAGTTCATTTCTCTTTCTTGTGTTTCATGATATTGACACATTGAAAAAGTAAAGGCCAGCTATTTATAGAATGTCTCCCAATTTGTGCTTGTCTAATATTTCTTCTTATACATTCACCTTATGCAGGTTTAATAGAAATACCTCAGAAATGATGTTCTTTTCACAGAATTTTACATCAGGTGACACATGCTGTTACCAGTCTCATTAATGGTGTTAACTTTGATCACTTGGTTATAGTAGACTCTGCTGTCTCTCCCCTGTAAAGCAGAATATATAACTTTGTAATTTAAAATGTTATTATTTTCAGACTATGTTAAATATTCCATGTGTTCTCCAAATTTTATTGTGTTACAGGATGTTTGGGGTGTTGCTTTGCCAGCTGGAAACCTCCGTGGCCAGTGGTGCCTTTGCTTGAGCTTTGCTTTGGCCCACTGGGCCCACTCAGCCTGGCAGGCTGCTCTTAGCTTGCATTACTGGCCTGGATCCCATGCTTGCCAAGGGCAAGTGGAGCAGTGAGGGGTGTGTGAGAGAGACAGCATGGGGTCCAGCCCCTGTGCATAGCCAGGAACGTTGGCTGCAGTGGGTGGGCAGCTCCAGGCATTGGCACAGGTGCTGGCTCCCTGTGAGGCTGCAGCTGCAGCTGGACCAGACATCCCACAAGCAGGTTCCATGGCTGGCACCAGGGAATACTGTGGCACCTAGAAGCTTTAAGATGCCAGGAACTACAGAGCCCCATAGATGGTGTCTCAGCCCTGGCTTGAGGAGCCCCTAGGTCTGGGCT